AAGACTAATGAAAACCATCTAGTCTAAGTCCAATAATTTTGGGTCACAAAATAGGAGACAAAAAGGAGCTCCAGGGTGGTGCGTGTGTGTGTCACGTGTGAGACCTTCTCAACTTCATAGGTTGCAACTTCTTGGCTATTTCTTGCTGCTGCTCCTCTTGCTCCCTTTTCCACACTGGAAAATCTTTCTGGAGTCAAAGAGCTACAAGACACCTTTGGAATGACCAGATTATCCATTTGGAGAAACTCTCTCCTTCCGTTAATTGGGAAAATCGTGTGGGCCAGGGATGTGTACCTCAAATTAGCTGGGCCGGAATTGAGAAATGTACTAAAGGGACAACTGTACTCAAGCTTTGAGTCCATAAATATTACCTGCAGATATTGTGTTGGTTACTGTTACCTTCTGTGGTGATTGTGACCCCGGGGGGAGGGAGAAGAGGGGAAAAAATGCTGTTTGTTTTTCCCCTCCCAAGAGAATGATGGGCTAACCACTCCTTCTAGCTCTCTGGTAGCTTTCCCACAGCCAACACACCTGCTGCATTTCTGCTTCACGAGCTGACCAGGCCTCCAGCTGCAGTATTTCTGCTTGGTGCTGGCGAGCCTGTTCTTCATGGAGACCCTCTTTCTCCAGCATTTCCTTCTGCAGGGAGCCGACCTACCAAGAGAACCGTGAAATCACAAAACTCGTAAGGGAAGCACTTCGCACATGAGAGACAAGGAGACAGCTGAAGCCTCCAACCAGCACTCCAAAGGAAAGAGACAATGCTAACATAACCCTCTTCTCTGAAATAATCAGGCCTTCCATGTGCAGCTGGACTGCTGTGAAAATGCTTTTGGTTCAAATGTACCAGATACCTGGATCCAGGACATAAAATTCCAGTGAAAGATCTGCTGCGCCAGGTAGCAGTTTTCCTCAACCTCCATTCGCTGTGTGCCCCTTAAGATTTTGCTGCCCTTAGTTTTACTGGCAACATGTTTTAGCAGACCTCTCTGGGTCACAACTTCATACTGTGCATGGAAATGTCAAAGCATCGCAGGACAAATTATGGCAATTTCGTAAGAGAAGACACAGCTGTCAATCTGTAATTGACAGTAGTTGATTTCTTGTTCCCTTGCCAACTTGAGCCTGAGAGGATCCCAGAAAACCCCAAAGGTGCCCAGGGTGGGCATCATTGCTTGGTCATCACCTGGGCCTGGGCTTCACCGAGTCTTTCCGTTGCTTCCTCCAGCTGTCCTCGGAGCTCCCCCACTATTTCTTCCTGTTCCTGTAACTGCCTTCTCAGCAGACCCATCTCTTCCTCCTGCCTGTTGCACATCGTGTGGTCACCCTGGTGGGGCAGAAGAGAGGCAGAAGCCACAAATTGGAGGAGGTGACATTTGATTGGTTAATCCAACCTGGTTTTTTACATGTGTTATAAGGAGACAATATAATTGGGAACTGCTCAAAGCAGTAATTCAGGACACCACAAAGCTTCCTATTAAGGAGTGATTGATACTACATGCAATTTTCTTCAGAATAAAGCGCTTCCCTCTCCTGCTCTTATTCTCAAACTCAAAGCAGCTGTTTCAATGAAGAGACCATTCAACACGTGGCCTTTCCCACATGGAGCAGGAACCTTTAGCACGGGGCCACAACCTTCCCAAGTCCCTCAAAACCCGCAGACACGAACACACCAAAGCACGGACCGCACTTCTTCTAATTTACTACCACTGCCACATCTTCTGGACCTTGAGACTTCACCTTCAGGAATTCCCAATTTTCACCTTTTAGGAAAAGCCCAGTCCATGGGGCAGAGGGGATAAGTTTGGAAGCAGAGGTGGGCAGAGTGTCTTTGGCTGGGAAGGCTACGATAGTGGCTATGTGGGACCACCAAACTGGCCAGGTGTCACTAGAGCGTAGAAGCCAAGAAGCACATTTGCAGGGAGACCAGTACATCCAGACCAGCAGCTCAGGACCTCCTCTCTCACCTGGGAAGTTTGCCCACCGCCTGGAGAGGCTGAAATGCTCACCGTGGGGAGCCTCACCTGGACAGGAGGCAGGGGCTCTCCTGGCGGCTCCTTGGTAGGCGCAGCCGCTCCACATTCTGTCAGCTCCTCAATGCGCTTGTTCAGATTTGCCACCTTCACTTTGGCCTGCAGCTTCAGCTTCAGCAGCTTGGCTTCCGCAGCCTGCCTTTCTTCCTATAGAGGGACCACCGCATCACACGGAGCAGGAGCAGCAGAAGAGGGGTGGGGCGGGGGGCAGCGTTCCTGACCCTTGCAGAAGGACGTCCAGAGGACCTGAACTGAGCAGGGGACTTTGGGGAGAGAACACTATCGTCCTCTACGTCAGGTGGGCGAAAGATCCGGGGAACTACTTTCTCCCCAGAAATAAAAGCTCATTGCCCAGAGACGTTTGGGGCTACTTCCTGCAAGGGCACCAGGGCCCAGGCCGTTTTCCCACTCTAGTTGGGGAACGATGCTGTGGTTCAAGCCCTGACAGCAAATGAGGAGCGTGATCCTGCTGTGCATCGAAGGAGCTGCAGGAGCCCTTCCTAGCACTACGTTACAGGCAGAGTCAGTAGCTGAACTAAAAACAGAACAACTTTATAGTAGCCAAGAGCTTCATGGAAAGGAAGATTTCCGGCCCCCCCTTTTTTTTTCTTCTATTAGGGAATTGCTTTTTGCTTTTGTTATAAATACTGTAACCATGCTAGTTTTCTTATGCTTCCCCCGAAACGCAGCAGGAAATGGAGCAACACTGTCAAATTGTGGCAGCACAATCTGAGGCCAGATGCAGCCCATGGCTGCTGGTTGTGGCCACTGCCCCCCACCATCCCACCGCAAAAGCTCCAATCCAGGGGAAAGAGGGGAGCAGCATTTCACCCAAGCAAACTCACCTGAAGCATCGCATCCTTCTGCTGGAGCTGAGCATCCTTTTCCCGCACCAGGTTCTTCAGCTGCACCACCAGCTTCTCCATGTGGGTTAGATGCTCCCGCACATCTTCTGGCGTCTCCTCCCCATTCTGCTGGCTGGATTCCAATTCTGGTCCCTACAAGAACAGGAAGCGGAAGCCCATAAGTAACGCCACAGGTCTCAGCTCTCGTCCCCAAACAAGGGTGGTTTCACATCAATGTGAGAAGGAACAAGAGATCTTTTATTCCCTGAGTGCTGCCTGTATGGCACAGACACAATGTCCAGATTGCGTCAGTTGCCACTTTTGTGAAAGGGTTTACTTGTATATTCAGCTGCAAATGAGTAACTCTCAAAAATGTTAAAACCTGGCTATTTCCTCAAGTGCTGAGGGCTGAGATGAATAAATTAAACTAAGTATGAATGTGAGACAGGTTGCCTACTACTGATTACTGAGTGCTGTTGATTCCTGTTTTCTCTTTAGCTGGTTAGCTAGTTAAATAATTTATACAGTCACCCATCTCACAGCAATTGCTCTGGGCAGCATAGAAAGATTAACAATCAACAGTTACAAACAATACATGCATTATATTCCTTTCCTTGTAAATCGGCTAGAGTCGCTTTGTTCAAGCTGGGCAGCCGTATCAATTCTTTAAACAAATATACGAAGATTTCAAAAGGGAGGGGAAAGCAAACAGTAGACGTGTATGTGCATACTGGCTCCTCGCAGGGTGATGATGCTAGGAGCTGAAAGCACAGCTGGGAGGGAATCTCAATGCCAAAAATGTTGGCATTTTTGTAATTTCCAGACTACTCCACCAGGAAGTACAGCAGGCAAAGTTATCCTGACGTCCGAATAGAAGTAGAAGGGGTTACTTCGTGTCCTCTCTGGGCCAGGACACCTGAAGCTTGACACCGTCATTGTTCCAGGATCCAGTCAATTCAAGAGCAATTAACAATGCTGGCTTTGAATAAAAAGAGGCATGCTATACCAGGTCGACTGGACAACCTCGGAACACAGCAATCCTTCCTGCTCCAATTTCCAAATAATCTGGGGGGGGGGGGGGACAGGCTACTCACAGCGGGCGGCACTGCCGTCTCGGCATCCTCTCCTTCCCCCGAGAGCTCGTGCAGGACAGTGCTGGCCAACCCTGACAAACGGCTGAGCATCCTCACCCTCCAGGCAACCAGTGGCACAGAGGGAGAATAGGGCGGTCAGCTGAAGCATAAAAGGAGTGGAGGAGGTCTGAGAGTATCCCAGCTGGAGTGAGCCGCAGCCTGTCAGGAGCCTGGGTGCCCAATATGCTGCCAAGATGCAAATGGGTTTCTTCCTTGGCGGACCCTAAGCTCCTTCTCCCATGAGTTTTTCTGCAACAACAACAACCACAACCACAACCATAACGTAACCCACATAGAAAGCTGGCATGCTGCAAAGCAAAGACCAGCTCTGTGTTTATGTCCCAGGATGAACGGAGTTCTGTGTGCGTCGCTAGAAAACAAGGAGGGCCTGCAGCCCAGCGTTTGTTTGGAAATATGCCCACAGCCCAGGAAAAGGACCAGGGAAGCAGGAGGTCCAGGAAACATTCTGGCAAATCAGGGTTTGGCCAGCAGTCTGGGAAGCCCTGCCGTGAATGCGCAAGCCCCCAGCAGCCATTTTGGGAGAGCGCCCACAACGCGCTCCCCGAATCCCATCCATTCCGTACTCTCACAGCCGAGGCTGAATGAGGAGCTGTCGACCTCCAGAGCTGCAAACAGGAACGGACATTCCGACATTACCCCAAGAGGGGAGGACATTCAGAAACACAGAGGTGGTTCTTTCATTGGCCCTTTCAGGCCAAGGACTGGCATTCGCAACCGTTTTGTGCAGCCTGGCACTATCACCGGCAGGGCCACGTCCAGGGCCAGCTGCAAACCACTGAGCAGCTGTTGGAGCAGCACCTGCCTTCCATGCCCTCCTCGAGAAGCACAAGCGCCCGGACTGCAGCTCAGCGCCACACTTCAGCAGAGGCTCCTGGGCTGCAGAAGCTGCATTTCTCCCCCCCACCCTCTTTTTTTTAAACCAGCTACAGGAGATGCCACTGACCAAGGAAGGGGATTTTGCTGGGCTGCTGCTAGAGGCATGCTACAATTGCTGTTGACTGTCTCCTCCTCAGGTGGGGGGGGGTGCAAATGTGTGAGAAGGGGCCCTTGCACTCCACCATCACCTACAAGCAGCTTCCTGTGGCTGTCTTCTGTTCCTCAGCCCTCTGCAGTAGGATTAGGCAAGCCGCCCTCGTCCCTCACAACTGCAAACTTCCACTCACTTAACCGCGATTGCAAGGGTGACTGGGTGGGGACTGGCACATGCCCCCCAAGGGGTAGGAGAGAGGCCCATACAGACAATGGCAGGAGCAGCAGTCCATCTGCAAGGACGCAGCCTAGCAAGACTCGCAAGGCGGCTACTGGGTGGGACGTCCTCGCGCTTCAAGCTGCGGTGGCCGGGAGAGCTGGCTCCAGGTCTCGCTGACAGCAACTCAGAGCTGCTTTGAATTTCTTCTCTTTTAGAGGGAAATGCAGGATAGGTATTTAAACAAAAAGCCAATAAACATGCAGGAAGGGATCAAGGTCCAGAGGGAAAAAGCGCCCCACGTTCCTGTTCGCCAAACTCAAACCGTGCCCTCGCAAAGCCAGCCCTGGGCGGTTCAGCGCCAGCTCTGCACGGCGGCGGACAATTTTTGGCAACCGCCCAGCCAGGAACCCGGACGTTTCCTAGCTCCGGG